TCAGCTTAGGGCAGCACTAGTGTAGACAGGGTGGTCAGGGAAAACTTTCCTTTGAGATGCTAGCTAGGCTGCACCCTAAAGGTCAGTAGGTGGCAGCTATGGGAAGATCAAGGGAAAAACATCCCAGACAGGGGGAATGGCAAATGCAAAGACTCTCAGGGAAGAAACGTGGGGCATACTTGAGAAGAACAGAGGCCAGTATGGCTGGAGCAGAGTAAATGGTGAGCAGAGTGAGACAAAACAAAGCTAGCAGCTGACAAGAGGCCTCAAGCGCATTTAGTTTCTGGTCTGCCCTGTATCATTCGATTCTTATTTTTTGTGCTAGGCAGTGTGCTAAGCTCCTTAGGCACATCGTCCTTTGTTCTTTTTATATTTCCAGCAATCCTGGGAGTAAGACTTAGAATCCCTATTTTATACATGAAGAGCTGAGGCTTAGGGAAATCAGTTTGCCCAAGATTACCCTTGGAAATGAATATTATCACTAGGATTTGAGCCCACATCCCTTTGACCCCAAGTCTGTGTTCTCAAATCCTGACTCCTGACCCTGCCTCTGAGCCCTGGCATCTAAATAAACTTCTACTTTGTGAGGGTATGACACATGTACCCTCAGGACGATGAACAAAGTACTGAGAAAGTAGCTACTGCCATCCAGTGAAGTCTGGGAAGGAGCATGTGGGCTGCATTTCGAAGATACATCTGGAATTTTCCCAGAGGCATAGGTTTTCGAGGAAACAGTATGTGTAAAGGCTCAAAGCTGAGAATTAATCATCACAACAGCTACTGGTTTACTGGTCATTCATGCTCTAGTAGGTTCCGCAGTGAATATATCACTTACCTCCAGATGAACTTCACAACAATCCTATGAGGCCAGCATTGGCCCTGTTCTACAGATGAAAAAACTGAGGTGTTGAGAGCTTAGTCATTTGCCCAGTGAGGCACAGTGAGTGAGGGAACTAAACACATGATTTGCTTGTTTAATTAGTAATGAGGAAAAATAGTGAACTTGGACGGGTCGGCATCAAAACCCAGACATAAGCATAGTTCTGCTTCTAGAATCTGTGCCCCTGACTCTCTCAGTGAGAGCTTGAGGTATGCAGGGAAGTGAGGGATGTTTTATGGGACTTCATGTTGGATGTTCTCTGAATCTGACTCATGTTAATGTGCCTGAAGGCCCTCTCCTTTTAAGCATTTTATATTCTGTAATCTCTTCCCTCTGAAATCCTAAAACATACTTTTGTGGGGTTGTTGTTGTTGTTTTGTATGTGTTTTCCTCTCTATCTTGACTACGGCGTCCCTGAGAACAATCCCTTATTTTCTTGAATTCCCCATTGCTCAGGCCCGGCCTCTGAGATCAGAGGCTGAATTGTTTTGCTGACCACAGAAACCTCAGGATGTGTGGTAGGACCAGGCAGGTAATAGATGCTCTGTAAATCTTTTTGGAAGAACTGAGTACTCTGCTTATTTAACAAAGGTTAGAGTGATAATGGATTTGGCTTGGGTCAACAATCGATCTTCATCCTTCACAGGGTGTGTGCCTCCTTTTATTTCCGTCACTTGAGACTGAAGGCAAAAGCAAGGAGTGATGGTGGCCATTCCCTCTCCTCCTCCGTTACCTCACCCCATCCCACCCCCAAGATCATGCAGAGTTATTGGTATTGACCCAGTGTTGGAAGAAATTCTGAATGTAAATTCCGTGAGATGCCTTGGTTGGTATTATACTCTACTATGAGGATTTGTGGCTTAGGCCGGTGAAGGCTGGCCTACTTGATAGAAATTTATGTTATGGTGTCATTTTTATGTGAAAGTCAACTGGTGCCCAATAATTCAATTGAAATGTTTTCAAATGCATACAAATAACCATGATTTTTCTGTGCAACTCCAGCGATACCAGTGTCCTTGGATCCTGGTATCCTGGGTCAGACCAGGAAAGCCTACGCGGCTGAGCAGTGAGTTCATTCCATGCTCTAGGCCTGGCCATCCAGAGCGGTGGCCACCAGCCACATGTGACTATTGAACACCTGCAGTTTGGTGATTCTGAATTGAGATATACTGTGGGCATAAAATACCACCAGATTTCAGAGATACTGTATAAAGAGAGAATGTAAAATATCTCATTAATCATTTACATGATGATTATATGTTGAAATAATATTTTTGACATATTGGCTTCAACAGAGTGTATTAATATTTATTTCGCTTATTTCTTTGTACTTTTTAAAATAAGACTTCTGGAAAATGTAAAATTATACACGTGGCTCACCTCGAACAGTGGTGCTCTAGGACGTGAAAAATATCAATCTGTTAAAAACCCACTTCTTTTCTGTCTGTCCCTAACTTCACTAGTCTCACTTTTTCCAAAGTTCCAAAATTAGCTAAAGCCCTCCAGGTCCCAACTCAGTCCATTCTCAAAACTCGACTCTTTGTTTCCTGATTGAATCAAAACTCAAGCCAGGCTTCAGTCTCCTATAGCTCTAAACGTTATTTTCTATAGCAAGACTTAAATTGATTCTAATGATGAAAGCACTTTAAATGTATATAGAAACTGGGGTGCCTGGCTGGCTCAGTTGGTGGAGCATGTGACTCTTGATCTTGGGTTGTGAGCAAACCCCACATTGGGTGTAGAGATTACTTAAAATAAATTAAAAAAATGTTTTGAATGAATGAATACAGAAACTCATTATTTTAAAAAAGAATTCATGTTATCAAGTAGCTATTACTATGCCAGGGCCCTCAATAGAATTATCACCATTTTCCAAGTGAGATAATTGAGGATGATGTAACATTTATTTATTAAACCAGCCTTATTCCAGAAGGGCTTTTAAGTCTCTGGCCAATTCCGAGGATGTAAGTGACTTTTCCAAGATGACACAATGGTTGATGGAGCCGGGACCAGAATGATCTTCCTCACTCTTTCTTCTACAACAGTTAGACACAGGATCCCATTATCAGTTTATGAAGTATAACTTTTTATAAATAATAGTAAAAACAGTAAAGCTTTTAGCTGGCTTTCTTTTCATATAAATTAGAACTGATTAAAGGATATTCAAAGAGAATTTATCTTTCATGCGCTGCGTTCATTTATGCAACAAGCGCTTACAAGTACCTGTCTTGTGTAAGGAACTAAGTTGGCCCTGGGGAAACATCGATGAACAAACACCAGAAGGAGATATATTATCTAACAAATTTAACCATAGCTAACAAGTTTTTAGAATAAAGGGCTATGGAATCTACTCTTAACAACTCTCAAGTATATAATACAGTACTGTTAATGATAGTCACCACGCTGTGCATTAAATCTCCAGAACTTATATCTTAGAGTTGGAAGTTTGTATGCCTTGGTCAGCATCTTCCCATTTCTCCCACCCCTCAGACCCTGGCAACCACTCTCTATTTCTTTGAGCTCAACGTTTTTCAGATTCCACATATAGGTGAGAGCATGCAGTACTTGTCTGTCTCTGTCTGCCTTATTTCATTTAGCATAATACCCTCTTGGTCCATTGGTGTGTGTGTGGGTGTGTGTGTGTGGGTGCATACATCAGCGATCACTTAGGTTGTTTCCACATCTGTGTCCTTGGGCTGTATACCCAGAAAGGGAATTGCCGGATCATATAGCACTTCTATTTTTAATTTTTTGGGGAAACTCCATATTATTTTCCATAGTGGCTGTACCAGTTTACATTCTCATCAACAGTATGGAAGAAGGGTTCCATTTTCTCTACACCCTTGCCAATAGTTGTTAATTTTTTTTTTATGATAACCATTCAAACAGGTGTGAGGTGATGAGATATAGTGGCTTTGATTTACACTTCCCTGATAGGTGATGTTGAATACCCTTTCAAGTACCTGTTGGTCATTTGTATGTCTTCTTTGGAAAAATGTTTAATCAAGTCCTCTGCCCATTTTTTCAATGGATCATTTGTGGGGTTTGTGCTATTTTATGAGTTTGTTATATATTTTGGATATTAACCCCTTATCCTGTAGATGGTTTGCAAATATTCTCTCACATTCCATAAATTGCCTTCTCGTTTTGCTGATTGTTTCTTTTGCTCTGCAGAAGATATTTAGCCTATTGTAGCTCCACTTGTTGACTTTTGCTGTTGTTGCTTTGGTGTCCTATCCAAAAATGCATTGCTAAAACCCATGTCAAGAAGCTTTATCCCTATGTTTTCTTCTAATCGTTTTACAGTTTCGGGACTTACATTTAAGTCTTTAATTCACTTAACGTTAATTTTTGTGAGCGGTGTAAGATAGAGGGTCCAATATCCTTCTCTTGTGTATGAATATCTGGTGTTTCCAACATCATTTATTGAGGAGGTTGTCCTTTGCCCATTGAGTGTGCTTGTCACTTGTCGTTGCCTGTATATTCATGAGTTGATCTCTGGGTTCTCAGTTTTGTTCTGTTGGTCTCTGTCTGTCGTTATGCTAATACCATACTGTTTTGATGACTACAGATTTGTAAAGCAAGGTATTTCAGACTCCCTGAGGTGCCTGTGTGGTGGTGTGTTTAACAACAACCATCTCTCATGGAAAACAAAACAAAACAAAAACAACAACAAACCAAGAACACCTGACTTACAGTGTTTTCCAGTTTCCATGGTATAAATGTTCCCATCCTGGCTCATATCTAGCTTCCAAAAAGATGTTACCGAATGTTGAGTTGGGAAGAGGTGTATGGTAGCGCCCATTATCTATCATTTCCACCCTGCAAATACAATAGAGGTTAGTAACCTCAAAAGCACAGGTAATGGTAAAATGATCAGGAAGCACTGAATTTTGAGTATGCATTGCCTTCGTTTTTGATACAATTTTTTAACTGTAATTTATGTTGTTTTTAGTTAACAACCACCTCACAAGATTCCTGCACATGTAACAGTCAGCTCGCGTGCATCCATACACACCAGCTCTAGCACACCAATGGGACTGGCATCTTCCACGGAAAGTAATCACAATCGTTGTGTAGAACAAGTCCTCACTGTTCCCTCTTTCTCCATTCCTTACAGATCAGCAAACAGCAGCTGCAAACAGTCAAAGACCGGTTTCAGGCTTTCCTCAACGGGGAAACCCAGATTGTGGCGGACGAAGCCTTCATGAACGCCGTCCAGAGTTACTATGAGGTAAGAGTGACCATGCAGAAGAAGGTTAAGACCGCTCAAGCCTAAAGCCCAGAATTTCCAGACTCCTGTTCAGTGGGAACAGCAGCCTTGGCCTCCTATAGGACCATCCCTCCCGAGGCAAATGGGTTGATGATTGGTTACAATTTTTAGAAATAACATCATTTTGTTTGGGAAAACTAAATCAAAGCCAATTGTTTACTGAGATATTATTTGCAAAACACTCCACACATTGCCTGCTTTACATATGATGTCATTTAGTCTTTACAACAGTCTCGTGAGTTAGGTCTTGATATTCCCATTTTACCAGTGAAGCAACTGAGGCAGAGAGAGGTTAGGTCAGTTACTCAAATTCGCACAGCTGTTATAGTGCCACAACTTAAGACTTGAACTGAGTTGGGAGCTTTATTCCACCAACTCCACCCCTTCCTAAAGGATGTTAACACCTCCTTAGATGGTGCCTTCACTAGCTTCCTTGTTCTTTCTATTAAAACGGTGCTGTGAGTTCTTTTCTGTAAGTTAGAACCCCATCCAAAACTCAGTACTGTTCTTAAGAGAAAACCTATAAGGGAGAAAACATCTCCTGAATATACATCACAACAGAATTTTCACCTGTAGACCCCAAAGATTTATTTAATTCCACTAGTATATTTAAAATTTATAATTATTCTTCCATAAGGTGGACATTGGCTATTGTTTATACATTATTAGTGGGTTGGATACACCATCCCTTCCTATAGGCAGTGTTTGCCTGATGTGCATATTTTTAAAAAGTTATCATATGGTCTTTAAAAGACATTTTACTTTATACCAATTTATTTTTATATGAACCAGATAGTCTCTGTATTTGGAATCGTATGCCCCAAATGTTATACCCATTGTCAAGGCTGGGTTAAAACCATTAGAAACCAACTGCTAAGCCTTGAAAAATGGATAGCATCCTGCCATATGCAATTCAAGGTAATAACAATAAACTAAAATAAGTTGAATCCACCAAACTCTGATTTCTTTCCCCCTGGGATTGCTTCACGGATTTCCTTCCTTCTTTCCTTTCTGTTTTTAATTATTAGGTAGCAGATTATTTCCAAATAGAAACTTTGGTGCTTCTGCTTCTCTGTGTTCCACACACATGCTTCTGCCCATCGGGGTCTCCAGTCCTCAGTAGATGCTTTAAAAGTGTTAGTTGATTGATTCAGTCGAACTCCTTCCCACGTGCTCAGGTACTTGGCTTTGTTTATGACAAGAGTAGAGCAAGACTGCAATTAGATTTTGTGCAAATATTATTGATTGGTTTGCTAATTAGTGTTTAATAGCAAACAGCCTTTGTGTCTGTGATGTTTGCTGGGTCCAGTCACAGACTCATTTTACACATTTTCTCAATGAAATTTCTGTTTGGATTTGTTTTAGAAGTCTGCTTCATTTTTATATTTGTTAAATTTAAGCTTTTATATTTCCTTTTACACATAGTATTCATTATTGCCAGTAAGTGTCAGACTTCTCTATCTTATGTGATGCAGTATATCAGTTGAATTCAATGGAATGTGGAAATGAGATTCAGCACCATGATGATGGTATGGCAATGAATATCTTAAATCTATTTAACAAAATATTTTGTTGCGAAAATGCCAGGGAATGAAATTAATTCTACCCCCTTTTGTTTTCAAGTTCTGAAAGCCAGTTCAGACCAGGCAGACCCTTATCAATAATTCTCCATGTTTAGAGTTATTCACCAGTTTGTAAATTTGTAATTGCAAGTCTTAATTAGAAAACCCATTTGACTAATGACATAAATTAAAAGAAAATGCCATTTCTTTCTATTAATGAACTTTGAAAATTAATAGTGATCACTGTGCTAATGAGTCTGGAAATTGTCATTAAATCTATAGTGATGCTGATTTTTTTTTCTAGAGTAACTAGTTTATTTGAAAGAGCTTCTTTTTAGTCTGAGACTAACAGGCATTGAGAAATCACGGAGTAGTTAATATTAAGATTTGAGTAACAGAAGTAATATAGGGTATTAATTATTTACTGTATTCATTAGTAAAGTTTCGAGAGTCTTGAGATGCACGTTCCCACGAAGTCTAATCCACTGAAACAAAGGTCACTCATCAAGGGATCAAGATGAACACTTTCCTTGGGAGAGTTCCCAGTTCATTACTCTTCCCTTTCTCCCTCTCCCTTCACTCTGGGGCAGAGGAGAAGCTAGCATTTCTTTCTCCACTGTACTCCAGAATCCGATTGCTTTCCTGTCAGTATCCGTATTGGTCAAGACTCTTTGGATTACAAATGACGGATGCCTAGGTCAAACTGGCTTAAGCCCAAAACGAGATTTATTTGCTGAAGCAACTTAAAAGTCTAGGATAGACTCGGTTTCAGCTGTGGCTGGATCCAGAGACTCCAAAGATCCCAGCACGATGGGTATCTTTCCCCCAGACCTCGGCTTTGTTCTTCCCTGTGTCGGCTTTATTCTTAGGCAGGTTCTCTGCATGTGGAGGATTCTGGCAGCTTCCCGTCATGCCCTACCAGCTTGGCAACCACATCAGCAAAGACAATACCTCTTTGCTGAGAGCCCCCAGCAAAAGGCCCCAGGTGACTTGGTTGGGCTCACATGGATCGTGTGTCCTTTCTGGAGCCAATCACAATGGATGGAGGCTCAGCTAGACCATGGGATCTGTGATCTGACAGATCCACCTCTGGAGCCCATGAGCAGGCTCAGCCACCTAGAGTGAACCATCTAGAGGGAAAGTGCAGTGATTTGTCATTGAGAAATGAGGGTGCTTTTTACCAGAGGAAGAAGGTTGGAATGTATGCTCTGCAAGCAAAACCAATAGATATCCTTCTAAATCCCCATTCAATCTCGATCTCAATCTCAATCTCTCTCTCTCTCTCTCTTTCACACACACACACACACACACACACTCCACCCCACCATACCACACCTTCATATCCCAGTTTGCCAATGGTAATGACATGCGGAAAAAACAACTTTTCCTCAAAAAGCTCCGAGAAGACTCCACTAGAATAAGTCATTTTGGTCGTCGGCCTTGTTTTGCTAAAGCAGTAATGGCTTTTCAGCATACTAGAGTAGTAAAGAAAAAAAAAATTTAGATAAAAGGAGTGGGTAGGCTGTGACCTTTTTCCATCTGTGCACCTCCAGCCCAGTCTGAAGCCCACTCCCCAGCATTAGCATCAAGCCGTTCAGGCCTGTGACCTGAGCTGGGCCAGGGTAAAGGGACAGCAGGGTTCCCCCTGGCTCTTGAGAGCGTGCAGGTTTATTTTATCCTTTCCTGGCGGCTCTGATCGTCAAAACCGATCAGGCAGGGCAGCAGATTAATCCTATAATCTCTTCCATTCCAGCTTTGAGAGCTGGGTGCTGAAGTGGGTGCTTGCTCCGAGATCTAGGAGATCCAACTGGGCAGCTCTGTCCCCTTCCCACAGCTGTGGCCCTGAGACATCAGAGAGCACACCCAGTTCTCCGTAACCCACACACCTTCCCTAATTCTCAGAGCTTTTACGACAAACGTCTACGCTGGAAGCCCTCTCACTGTGCTTCATTTCGGTTCTCTTGCATGCCGGTCCTGGCATCCGAGAAAAGAAGTGGATGGAAAAATGTTACAAAACGTCTGTCACTCAGAGCCTCCCTGGAGGGAAACATGGGTGTTTGGTGGGAGGTGGAGATGTAGTTTGAGGCGGGAGACGCAGACACACACCCATTTTAGATACCTGGGCTTCAGCCAGTGAAAACTGCTCCGATTGAGTTTGTTTTGTTTTATGTTTTGCTTTATTTTGCTTTGTTTTGTTTTGTTTTGTTTTGTTCTTAGCCAGTCTCTAACAAAGTCCTGGTTGCTTTTTGCCAATCTAGCTATGACTGTTGTAGAGGACAGAATTTTGGGGGTGCCTGGGTGGCTCAGTTGGTTAGGTGTCTGACTCGACTTCAGCTCAGGTCATGATCCCATGGTTTGTGAGTTCAAGCCCCACATTAACGCTCTGCACTGACAGCACAGAGCCTGCTGGGGCTTCCCTTTCTCCCTTTCTCTCTGCCCCTCCCCTGCTTGCACGCACTCTCTCTTTCTCTCTCTCTCAAAATAAATAAACATTAAAAAAGAAAACAATTTTACATTTGCTAGCAACAAATTTAACTGGTTACATTAAGGGATGATGATGATGATGATGATGATTGTATAACAGTGCAGCAGTAATAACCACAGCAGCAAGAGTCATTAAAGGAAATAACCAAGCTACAGAAAAGAGGGAACCCCAACCGCTCAATATCAGGAAGCTGGGTGGCCTTATAGTGGACACCCCCTCATTGGTCTGAATCTCTGCCAACCCCATTCCATTCTTGTGCCATCCCCCTCTGAAGCTGAAACCCACAAGGGGAAGTCTGACTGGGTAACCTCGGGTTCCAACCTGCCACATGGCTAAGGAAGGACATGCTCCCATGCCTCACAGCCCCACTGAGGCCATGTGTGGTGGCACAGACATTCTCAGACTGAGGGACTGTTACCAGGAGGGAAGGATGGGGGGCAGGCATAAACTACAAATGTCCTCAACACTGGGTGATGCACTGTATTCAGTCTCTATGCTCTATGGTGGACCTTTTTTTTTAAATCTAAGAAAAGTGGAAGTCAGGTCATATCTGGCTATTTCTCTGAAATGAAGCTCCATTTTCCAATAAGCAAAAACCACTGTAACTCTTCGGTGGCCTTCAAAGAGATATATATCCATGGGAGAAGAGTAACTACCCATTATAAAGACATTTGTTTTGAGGGTAACACAGAGCAAGGAAGGAGGTGGCGGAGGTCAGAGTGGTTCAGAGGATGTTTTGTGTCTGAAAGATGTGCATTGAATTCTGGTCCCTCTGCGCACTGGCTGGGGCACCTCAGCCAAGTCTGAGCTTCAGGTACTTTACCTGTTCTAGCATCTCCCTACACAGTTATTGTCAGGATTAAATTACACACACACACACACACACACACACACACACACGCACACACCCTCAC